ATTGGGCATCGAGATGTATTGGGCACCTTGGACGTCTGACCCCGTCCAAAGGGCGAATGATCCGACGAACTGGACACCAGCCCCCAATGGATTGCGGTTTTCGCACACCGCGCCGCTGCCTTGCGGGGCAGGCTTCAGCTAGCCGAAGGCTCCGGTTGTGGATTCCTCAGGAAAATTCACCTGCCTTGGCCTGGGCAACCTGGTAGTATTCAGCCCACAAGCCAATCATGGAACGTTTTTCTTTTTTATAAAGATTATTATACCATGATTTGCCTGGCACACAGTCTGCCCTTAGACGTGTGTAAAATAACATATATATATATATATATATATATATATATATATATATATGAGCATCTGAGTACAGACTACATGCCAAAAAGTAAGAGTACAATAATCTTGGGAAAATTTGTATAAAACAATTTGTATAAAACAAATCACATGGCGCATCGTTTTTTCGATACACTCCGAACGCTGTTCGGGTTTGATACGTTGAGTACAATAATCTATTTAAATGGAAAAGGTTCCATGAAAGAAATTTTGAAGAATGCAGAATAAAGGGTGCTGGGTACTCAAACTCGCGGATTATATTTTATTACCCACTGTCCAGGTATGAATAATAATACAGAGCCCATTCATCACTTGTGAAAACTAGCAGCCTAAACCATTAGACAAGGAGTGGAGAATGACATGAAATCCAACTAGGATGTGTGCAGTTTTAAGCCGACCGATAATTACTACGTTTGACAGAAGTGACTGGTCCACTTTTTGCTTATCAAAGAAAAATACGCTAACTGCTTCCACTGAATGCACTGGGACTAGAAAATAGGTGTCACCGCTAGATTACATAATCAGCTTTTCACATTGGGAACAATACCGGGTTGTTGGTCAGTCCATTTCGCACCGTTATCGAACGTCGGAAAGACAAATCCGTTTGGTTTGGTGCTTGGTCCCGTAGAAAAAAGCAAATGCTGATCTGGTCCCGTGCTAACCGATCGATGTCCCGGCTGGTCGATGTCCGACAGTTGCACCTCATTGTGCCCGATGCTACCCGTACTGACCTGTTTGTCTATCTGCCTTGGGGACATGATTGGGTAGCACATCGCAACCACAGGCTGGACTGGATGCTAGTCTCTCACGTTTTCCAACTTGGCACAATTATCACACTTTGTGATCGGTGATTTCCTTGTCAAGTAATATGCCTGTAAAAAGAAATTTAGTCAACGGCTTCAGTCACGCTTTTGTGGACATTCTATATGAATTTAATAAAACAGGATGGTTTACATCAACTGAATGCAGAATGTTGACAGAAAATTCCATCCGAACGATCATATTCATTTGATAAAGTCACTAAAAGGTCTGTATGTATATCAACGGAGGAATGTCCTGAAACAGAGGCAGAAATAATTTTGAACTAAAAAATATCACATGCTGTACACATAGTTTCTCCAGCCACTTTCATGTATGACTCATAAACAAGTTTTGTTTCAAATTATATGAAACGAATGCGCTCTCAGAATCCCATTGTTATCCTATAACCCCAGATGGATGAGGCCACTAATGTATAACGTATCTGTTACGTAACAAAGATATCAACTCTCGTGAAGTAGAATCAAGTGGATAACTGATTGTACATCAAGCGTAGGCTACGATTTACTTCATTACATTACAAATATCACTACCTTAAAGTGATATGTTGAACAACTATATTTTGAAATCTAAACACAATTTGCTAATATCATATTTTGGTAGTATTTTAGCCTATTTCACAACCAGCTTTCACTTTTTATATGCGAGTGTTTGTACGCGTGCATTAAAGTTTGTGTTGGAGTTGTGCTGGAGTTGTGTGGGCGGAGTTGCGGGTGGTACGGTGTAAGTTGTGAGTTAAGTGTGTTAATCGTCTCTTATTTACCGAAGGAATCGGGTCATTTTAAAAAATCGGTTCCATAGATTCAACGCAATGCAACCAACTTGCTCAATGGATTCAGGCCACGTCTACCAACCACAAGGTTTGACCGGCAACCATAAAGAGCTCAGCTTTCAGTTTGGCACACTTTGCGGTTTTGTTTACCATCGGAAAGTGATGTGCTTAGAATGAGCGTTTGACCATTCATTCAATACAAAACAAACATTCGGTCTCATAGCCCTGTGTTAAAAGACTCGGAGTGCATTCAGATTTTGATTTTGATTAATCCTAGTGGTTCATTTGGTAGCTAGGTCTGCTCTTACTGAGCTCATCCAATTAATAATTTGTTAAATAACGTGTTATAGTTGAAACTTATGTAGGAAATCAAATGAAGAAATTATATTGGTATCTTGAAACTAGGACATCATTATCAGAAACTGTGTTGTTTTGAAATTTAGATGGAGAATTCTTCATAAACGTATTAAAAAAGAAGAGAAGTATTAGGACAGCTGGCTTTTGGTGGTCTTGGATTGAATGGGAACCTGTCTTTTTTTAACCGTTTTCTTCTTCATAATGTTTCAGTTTTATCATTTTAAAGCCAGTTAGGACGTTCTGTTTTCAGAGATTTCATCATACAAATACTTATGACCGCAGACATTTTACTTTTACCTCTTTTGAAAAAGTTGATCAGGCTGCTAGTTAGCCTATGCTACTGCAGTTTATTTGGTGGAAATAAAAAGTGAATAATATTTTATTCTATAGTGAATGCAGCTATTTATTTTACTCTTATAGTTGATAATAGCTAAGTTTTTAAAGGCTACTTTGTTTAGGGAACGAGTGTCGCATACACATACTTAGTTCTTCAATGGGCATTTATATTAACTTTATCGAAAGCTCTGCATATCTGTTCAAAGTCGATTTTGGAAGTATAAAGGCAATAGTAGTCTAGAAATAACAGAACTTGGATCTCTTCGTGGGTTACTGCTTGTAATGAAGTTGATTTTAAATTTTCGTGTCATTAGGCTCTTTTCCCAAGTTTTGTTGACTAAAATATTGCTAATACATTGATTTCATTGCAGATTGACCGTGCACCACAGGCGACTGGGTCAGGTGCCTCCCCCTGTCCAGGATCCGCGGCATCGGTTGCTGTTGGCCGAGGTCCCGGATGTCTAACTGGCAGTGTGTCCCCTTCTATTTCCGCCGTCTCTCCAGTGAATTCATCTACTCTTACTCCCTCCTTGGCTGTGCTTTGCTCAGTCTCATCGCCATCTTCACTTTCATCCAATGTATCAGCCGTGTCGGCAAATTCCCGGGCACGAATGACCAATCAGGGAATACCCCAGAGCAAACATCGCGCTCACGCGGCTCAGATAGGTCACGGTCAAGGTCACAAGCGGGAACAACCAGTACAAGCTGAAATACAACATCAGAGACAGCATTCTCACGGACATCCGACCTCGTCACAAGTGGGAATGGATCCACTTGTAGCACATTTCCGGTACGATGCCATTCTACACGCTAGGATTGCATGCATCCTTGGCCTTAGGGATTTCTTCTGTGTGAACAAAGAATTAGCTGGCAAAACGGATATGATACTTAGTAAAATGATTTTTCGAGAACGGTGTTGAGTTTATTGAAGGGAATATACAAGATGTACGGGATTTCAAGCAGCTGCAGCTTGCACAGTTAGACGGTAAATATTTGTGCAAACTGAAACTGCAGGAAAATTATGGAAGCAAACCAACAATGTCATTTGTCCAAGTAGGTAGCACTTACAATCAACTGCATTTTTCGTTTAGAAATACACGTTTCATAAGTTATGCTCCAAAGTAGTAAATTACATGATGAACAGTATACTGTCTCCATTATTTTTGTTAACTTAAAGACTACATTGAATGCGTTATTAGTGCGGATAACCTGACCTCTTAAAAGGTGGACATCTCCAACTTTCTCTTTACTTAAGCACAGCTGCAATAGAATTTACTCATCGTAACCATAGAGTACGGTTTAAGTTTACAATAAATAACTTAACTTCATTCGAATGCTCTGATTGCTCTAGATCATGTAGCCAGCCGGTTACCATGTCAACTGGACATGATAGCATTGGAGTCCCTGGTTTGGCCAATTTAAGTGCAGCCGCCACCCAATCTCCCAACCACGCATCGCATGGGCCTCTGGGTAGTGCAACGTGCGGTTTATCATCAAGCTCTTCCCTGATTGGTTTGAGTGTTGCATCCAGTCCGGCCGGACAAATGGTTAGTTCGTCGACTTTACAAACTGGTCAACTCGGGACTGGAAATGCAGTCAGCAGCTCCTCCGGCCAGTTGGTTCAAGGCTTGGAATGCTTACGTTTGAATACTTCAAATAGCCCGGGAGCTGCACTTGGATCTCCTGGTCACGTGATTGACGTAAAACAACAGTCTCAACCACAGCAGCAGCAGCAACAACAACCAAAACAACAGCGGCTGCAACATCCTCAGTTTATGCTTCAAACTAACACTGGACTGGGAGTTAGCCCACTGGCAACTGGAACACCTTCGGCTGGATGCAACAGATTCACAACCGCAGGATTGCCAACTACTCCAGTTTCTGGTACACAACATTCGCATCAGGGTAGTATGGATAGTGGCGTGGGTCCGTCACTAGCAGGACAATCAAGTGCCAGTGCAAACCAAACTCCAGAACACACCATAATGCTGTTCTGTGATCCGAGTGAGTGCATTCCCTAATATATTTTAACTGTTTGATGAACATCACAATTGAAAATACTTTTGAAATATCTGATGACTACTTTAAAATAAAACTTCAGAATTTTGTTCTTTATTTCTGAGCACTATTTTTGAGTTAGATGAAGGGTCATAAAAACATCCTGAATAACGTACGAGTTATCTGCTTAATAATCTATTGTTTTACTTTCAATCATTCGATATGCATCAAGTGTACCATCATTACTGAGGAAGATGGGCCATGATCGAATAAAGGCGGCCCGAGAAAAGTGAGACTATGAGGTAGTGGGAGCAAAGTTTAAGCACCAACCACGTGTAAGTGATCTGAAGGACTACATCATTCTATTACCACCGACCGTAACATCATCTAAATAATCCAAATAACATCCAAAGCTTCTAATAAGGAAGATGTATTATTGAGTAAAACAGTAGACATGTTTCCTACAGCCGACTAACTAAATAACAATTGCTGGATAAAGTTAAGTTCTTTGGAAACAATTTCAATGTTGAACAATTATTCACTATTGTAGAATTAAATATATAGTGGTCACCGAAAATGTATTTTATTCCCTCTTCTAGATTTTTTCTCCCAAAAAGCGTTTCGAGGTACTAAATTATCTTTGCTGATTTTTGTCAAACCATTCAGTGCACTACCTGTACGCAGGTCTTTTTGAAGTACCTGTATGAACTCGGCACTTAATTAGCGCAGAATACGCATCAGATTTTACATCTTGGACGATACCAAATAAAACTGGTTACTGGCACTAGCTACTGAACTGTTATTTGAATTCTCTGTTTACGAGCCTGGACATGATTGATATGGTATCACACAGGTGATGTAAGAATAACACTATATCTCACTGACCTGACGGTGGATCAAGTAAAAGTGCACCCGACGGAAAACAGTCTGAAGGTCACAGTTTTTGCGGGGTATAGAAAGATCATTCACATAGTCAAACGAATAACACTATTGAATGTGTGCATGTGAGCAAAGCGTGTGCTCGTGTGCGTACCTGAGTAGGAATATAAGCATGCTGGTTTTGAGTCACGTTATCGGAAGTTCCTGTGACATTTCACCGTACTCACCATTGTTTTCTTTTGGCTCGAAAGAGTGGCGGACAGATAAGTATATCATATTCATAGAGCCGCTTAACCTCCATCCATCACCTATCAAGTTTACCCTCTTTCCGTCCTGAAACAAGTCAAGGGATCAACCATTACAGACCAGTAAATAATAAATACGTTTTGATCATTAAGCTAATTACATCATAATTTTATTTTAAAATCTGTAACAGATTTATTGGGGGACTGCATGAATCAGTGTTCATTTTTGGCCGAACCGAAAGGCGGTTGAGTTTTGTCAACAAAAAGATGTATTCTACTGATCGGAACAAGAAATAAAAGATTATTTACAAACTCTTTAACGACATGGTGATGGCAACATACCCTAATCCATGTACGGTGCCTGTTTCGTAGGTATCACACAAATGAGTTGGTATTAAGTCAGCGAAATTGGCGCAGTTTAGGAATTATATCCGACTGAGTAGAGCTACTTCCGTTTCTAGCTGTTTTTAATGAAATGTTATAAAATTAGGAGCAATCAAAAAAAAAACATTAACAAAAGTGTAAATAAAGAATATGAATACAGGAAATTAAGGGATTGACGATAATAAATTTTTAAAGGATGGAATTCTTGATTTTTTATTTAACATAATTCTGATAGATTAGTTTCAGTATGCAATGTCACCTCTGAGCTCTTTTGGCAAGAGCCGTATGGTTATCGAAAACAATTTTTCTTTAAGGAGGTCATGTAGTTTGCCTTTCTGAATCCAAACCACGGAGATTTTTGTCCCAGACATAAGATTCATAGAATCTATTTTGTGTCCTTTATTGCACATATGTTCATGCACGGTTGGTGATTGTACACAGTAAAACTGATTTTCTAAAAGACATTTGTGGAAATTTAGGGATTTGTACTTTTTCGGTTACCAGCTGTCTTCAAACGGACAGTATTCACGAATTAGGACTGATGAAAGGGAAATGTATTTTCTAGTGATAAAATTGTACTTCTCCAACATGGTAGGTGGACTATTTTTTTCTGTCCACATTTTATCCCAATTAATTATATATTTCATAGTTTAGCAGAAACTGAGGTAAAATAAGCATTCAACGGAAAAAAATCAGCTACAAATCCAACCCTTTTGTGATTGAATTACCAAAAGTGGGCTTGCAAGCTACTTTCTTGCTAGCAAAGTTTTTCAAACTTTTGGTATTTGTGGATAAGGGTGCAATGTTAGAACAAGGAACATGAACTGAACATTACGGCTTTGGGTCGAGTCATATTTAGATGACTACCTCGACATGCTACTATTGGTGCAAAAAATACGAAAACTTATGCGTGAATTCGTCGTGGAAATAAAGCTTAAGCTGAAAAGTTTGGAAGCAGTTTCGATCTGGTTGGGCTTCCCCAGTAGAGATAATCCAGCTTCTCAACTTTCTGAACATGATAACATGTTGCATACGAATAGTGGAGGATTTGATTTCATTAGGAGGTGAATTTTTCTTGTGAATAAAACGTGAACTGAAAAGCTGGAAAGAACTAAATCCAACGAAGTCGAAACAGCTGTCCAATGCTTCCTACTTTTCATTTTCNTGAAAAGGTAGGAATCATTTTACAAAGAGCCATCCAAAGGGTGAAGAACAGCCTTTGTAAATTACATAATTTCCTATGTGACGGAAATTTCACTGGGTTGGAAAGAGAAGTTTAATTCGAAGTTATTTATTATTGGCTGAGCTTTATTTCATTACAGTT